ATATATATATATATGTGTGTGTGTGTGTGTGTGCACAGTACTAACATATATGTTAAAGTAATTAATTTACCTATATGTAAATTTATGATTAGCAAATAATATATATTTTGTAGGTAAATTAATAATGAATCCAATAACATTCTTGTTACATCCCACATCACCCAAGGGTGAGGATCCTGTAAGGCTTATATATATATTCTCATCTCTACCTAGCACGAGACATTTTGGGAGCTCACTGGCTTCGGGTTCCATCGGAACTCCGAAGTTAAGCAAGTTCGCGCGAGAGCAATCTCATGATGGGTGACCCACTGGGAAGTTCTCGTGTGAGTTCCCAGAAACAAAACCATGAGGGCGTGGTCAGGGTCCAAAGTGGACAATATCATGCTACGGCAGAGTCGAGCTTGGGATGTGGTGAGGGCCCAGGCTGGGATGTGATAATTTGGTATTATAGCCAATCACTGGCCAGAAGTGTGCCGACAAGGACTTCGGACCCCTAAGGGGGTGGATTGTTACATCCCACATCACCCAGGGGTAAGGATCCTGTAAGTCTTATATGTATATTCCCATCTCTACCTAGCACGAAGCATTTTGGGATCTCACTAGCTTCGGGTTCTATCGGAACTCTGAAGTTAAGCAAGTTCGTGCGAGAGCAATCCCATGATGGATGACCCACTGGGAAGTTCTCGTGTGAGTTCTCAGAAACAAAACCGTGAGGGCGTAGTCGGGGCTCAAAGCGGACAATATCGTGCTACGGCGGAGTCGAGCCCGAGATGTGGTGGGGGCCCCGGGCTGGGATGTGACAATTCTTTTATTTTGTAAGTAACTTATTTTTCATATATTATTACATATATTTGACACATTTTATTACTATAAGATATATGTACAAATAATAGGTAAATTAGCTTAGAATCAAATAACATTGCTTTATTTTGTAAGTAAATTAATTTTGAATCAAATAGCATTATTTTGTTAGGTAGATATTTTATTTTGTATGTATCAATATCATATATATATATATATATGTATGTATGTATGTATATATATATATATATATATATTTGGCACATTTTATTATTATATGTACAAATAATAGGTAAATTAGTATTAAACAAAATAATATTGTTTTATTATGTAGGTAAATTAGTTTGCATGTATGTTGCATATATGGGTTTGTTATTATGTAGGTAAATTATTTTTCATGTATTTTACATATATTGGGTATATTATTTTTTTATGCAATCTAACATTTTAAATTTTTAATAGTAGGTGCACTATTTGAATCAAATATTTTTTTTTTTGTAGGTAAATTATTTTGCATGAATTTTACATATATCATGCATTATATATATGGAACTTTAACGAAAAGCACCTGGTACTGTTCACTTTAACGAAAAACCACATTTTTACACTAAAAAGTCAATCCTGGTACTATTCACTTTACCCTTTATTTTGTCCTTATCATTAAAACTCAAAATTTTCAAGCCATTTTCATTAGTTTTCCTTTATATATATGTGCGTGTGTGAAATAATTTACCTACATTAATATGTAAAATAGAATTTTATTGACTTAATTAAGCATGTATAATAACATATATTAGACATGTTTTATGTTATTATATATTAGGCAATGAATTTATAACATTAATGTTTATATATCTATATAATCATTAATTCTCCCTTACCATCCATCCTCATGGCATTAATTATGTACATCATATCAAAAAAAAAAAATCAAATAGGGGTAGTTTAGGCATCCGAATTATTTTAATGTGTTAAGTCAAACATAATTGATGAATTTGCTGATGTGGAATCTAGTCAATGAGTTTTATTCAAGTAAAAAACTTATGTCGGGTTTTATGTGGAGAAAATTCAATTTTAAGAGCTAAAGTTGTATTTTCAGTAAAACAAAATCCTGCTCCTACTATATCTTATTTGATGATATAACAACTCATATTATCCACTTATATTATTATTCATAAATAAATAAGACGCACTACGTACTTGACAAAATGACTGTCGCACTTACTAATCTCTACTAATTAATAAAACACTCATTGTCAACCAAAATCGTATGAAATTATCAGTTTAACCCTCTAATTAAAACAGAACATAAATAAGAAATATGAGGCAGAAATGTAATTTCGCACAACCAAATTTTATTTTATTTTTCAAAAATCCTAACATATCTCTAATTAAAAAATTAAAAAAATAAATTTCCCACTCCCACATTCTCTATCACTCTCTTCCTCTCCCCTTCTATTTCAAAAACAAAAATAAAAAATTTTCTCACATACTTTGTGTGTGCCCATATGTTAGTATCTATAACACTTTGGCTCCAAAGAAAAAACGGGTTTCAATACGAACAAGCATGGAGTGGAATAGTAAACGCTGGCTAACATGAATATGAGTATATTTAATAAGAAAAGGAAGAAGGATGAAAGGGTGTGGTAATCAGTTTGGTCCAAGTTTTTATTTCTCAAAATTTGTCTTCACGCTCATAATCTGGGTCTGGGACTGAGTAAATGCTTATCCTATCCCTGTGGGCTGTGGCTTCTTGCAACTTGATCCCAATTTGGCATTTGGCAAATTCAAATTGGTGACCGCATTCTAAATAAGTTGGTAAATATTAGATATATATGCAATGACCAAAACTCCATATTGGCTTATGTCGTATAAACTAACCGAGATTAGGGTTTTGCACTGTAAAGCTTCTAATTTCATTAGGGTTGTGGAGTTTCCATCCAAAGGACCACCGGCAGTCATGAATTCGAATTATATATGGTCCAATTCCATCAAATTGAAGCAAACTCTGTCGCACCAACCGGTGGTCCGGCCGGTACCCTATGGACCCTCATGTTCTTAGCGTTTGAGACAAACACCAACATGCAAAAATGTCATATATGATGAAGCTTCTGTTGCATGTGAGAGTGAGACTTGAGAGTCCCATCTCCGTGACCAATTTCTTGCTTCATTAATCATCTCTATATGTATTGTGATGCGATATTTGCAAGAGGTAAAGGATTTTCACACTTTTTTTTACACGTTTTTATTTTTATTTTTAGTATTTGTATTGAATAACTCTAAGGAAAAAAATAAGAGATGAAATTAATAGGGTACGCAGAAGGAGAAAAGATGAGTATTGAAATAATTTTCCTTCATTTCAGTTCATAGCATTTTTGAATGAAATGAGTATTAAAATTATTTTGATTCCAAAATTTCTTGTATACAATAACACTTGGTTATTTAAATTATTTTGATTTCTGACTTTAACCATGTGTGCATTTATAAAGACATCGACAATAAAAATAATGTAGTTTTTTTTTTTTTTTAGAGAAATACCATATTTGATATTCATTGCAAACAAAGCAATACAAGGACAAATTGACAACAAACTGAGGATAGTGTGCACATTGGGCCTCGATAAAACCTTGTCGGAGAACCCGGTCTAAGGAAAAAGAGTGTCCCACACAACGAAAAGAACTATCCCCAAATGTCAATACAGAAACAAATTACAAGAAATCCCAAAGCAAATCAGGAGAATCTTCCACCCACCAAACATGTAGCGTATAACCATTGATGTGCTGTGAGCGTCAACCGTTCGGCAAAACATGTGACCATGGCTTCCATAGTTTGTACATAACAATCCACAATTTGATATTTCAAAACAGTGAACTAAACTGATAAAGAGAATAGTCAATCTTATAAGTATGAGAAAAATATGTTTGAGAATCAATTCACTTATAAACTCTCCTTAATATTAGCTCTCCTCCTTTTCTCAAAAAAAAAGAAAAAAAGAAAAAGAAAAAGAAAAAGAAAAAAGCTCCCCTTAATATTCAATATCAAATACCTAAATTTCAGGAATCAGAGCAACTATGAAGCTAGTTGATCCTCTTTTTTTTTTAGTACTTTCTCTGTTTCTAAATTTTCTCATTTTTCAGTTTTCAATTTCCATTAAGTAAACATGTTCTTATTCTTAGAGCGTGCTAATCTTGAAGACTTGAAGTTGTGAGGCCCAACAACTTTGAGAAAAATTTAAGTGTGCGGGGAACAATTTAGTTCACCAAATGTCACAATACTATTAGTTGAAAAATTATTTTTTAAATTTCTTACTAATTTTATTATTACATTATTAAACTAGATTATGTTCCCGACACTCTAAAGAACTCTCCAACAACCTTATAAATTTCAACTATAATAAATCCTAAGGTACATGGGATGAGACGAAACGCAGTGGAACATAATGCACTCGTCCTATGTTTGGTGAGTCAAATATAGTGGGACGCGCTATCTCACGGAACGAATTTTGGTTATATTTTCGATCTACCTCTGTCCTGGAGCAACTCGTTCTGTCCTCTGGAACACAAAACTATAAAATTTTCAGACAAAAATTTTAACCGAAACCTTCGTTTCATTCCGTCTTGTTTGCGTACCAAATGTTACCTTAAATTAATCAAATCATGAGTTGGGAATGATATTTAAATGACATGATAACATAATTAAATCCCCGCGTTCTTTTGTAGGAGGGTCAACTTGTAATCCATCAACTTGTGTGGTTTATTTATTAAAAGAAAAAGCGTACATGACAGTTACGAAAACTGAGTACCGTTAGAAAAATTATTTATTTAAATGATATTGTTGACCTGTTTGTTGATATTTAAAATATTATGTATATATTGATTAGCGTATTTATTTTGTATGAGTTATGATTTATAAATATAAATTAAAAAATTAATCTATCTAGTATTATTTCAGTTTAACATTAGAATGATTTTATCTATACATCTTGTTTTATTTTTCACACGTTATTTCAATTTTTGACCTTGGGATCAAATAATTTAAAAACAATTAAAAGATAATAATTAACACAAGATATATGAGAGATAAAAATAAATAAAAAATTGCAGATTGCACCGCCTAACTTCAACCCGATCAACTTGCGTTTATTTTTTTCCTTTATTTATTCCTTTTCTTTTTTGGCTTCAAGGGCCAACTTGTTTCTATTTTATAAATTATAATCCCCCACATGAACTTTCTCCAATTTTATATTCACTAATTCTTGGCTTTGAAAATTGCAACCAACTCATCTCTCTGTTTGTGCGTGATAGAGAGAGAAAGCTAGAGAGAGAAAGAGGGAGTCCTTAAGAATTAAGATCTCTCACCGGAAGCCAGAGCAGAGCAAGGCAAAGAGCCTCCCTCTACTTCAGAAGCAGCTCTCCAAATTTACCATTTATACCCAAAACCCAAGAAGCTATACCACTTTAAATCTGCTCCAGAGTGAAATTTCTCAAATGCCTCCCAACCCGCCCAAATCCTCAGTCTTGATCCACCGTGTTCACACCGCCACCTCGGCGACATCGAACACGGCGTCGTCGCAGTACCAAAACCAAAGAGGAGGAGGATCTGCTGCACTGCTACTCAACAACAATAGTAATAATAACGGTAAGAAGCGGGCCACAGTACCGGAAGCCGTGGCGCGGCACCACACGCACGCGGTGGGGCCCAACCAGTGCTGCTCCGCCGTGACTCAGGAGATCGCTGCGCCCGTGTCCACCGTGTGGTCGGTGGTGCGGCGCTTCGACAACCCGCAGGCGTACAAACACTTCGTCAAGAGCTGCCACGTCATCGAGGGCGGCGGCGACGTGGGAACGCTGCGGGAGGTGCAGGTGATATCGGGGCTGCCGGCGAACAGCAGCACGGAGAGGCTGGAGATCCTTGACGACGAAAGCCATGTCATCAGCTTCAGCATGGTGGGCGGGGACCACCGGCTGTCGAACTACAGGTCGGTGACGACACTGCACCCATCGTCGCGCGCGGGCGGCGGGACGGTGGTTGTGGAGTCGTACGTTGTCGACGTGCCGCACGGGAACACAAATGATGACACGTGTATGTTCGTGGACACTATTGTTCGATGCAACCTGCAGTCCCTCGCTCAGATCGCCGAGGATTTAGCTAGATGCAAGTAATGATAATATTAATCATTTATTAAAATTAATTAATCATACTTTAGCTACTAGCTTAATTAGCTCCTTCATCTTCTTTTGCGCTTGCATGGATTAATTAGCCTCATAAAACTATCGTGAATGTCTATGATCGAGGTTATGAGCTAGTAATCTGTGTTTGTACTTTTTTTGGCGTTTCCGCGATCGTTTTGTGATTTTAATCCTATGAAACCGCTTCAATGGTTCAATGTTTATGGCTTTAATCAGTGCTATTACTGTGTGTGATATCCATTATGTTGAAAAATTGGCCAAAGTGATCAATTTTTCAAATTTCAATGGCTGAATTGATCATTTTTCAATCGAGTAGGATTCCTCCCTTCAAATTCCCTCCCATTCAGTCACCTTCTCTCTTACTTTCCTCAGTCATAAGCATTCAAATGGGAGATCGGAGGAGAATCTTACTCTTATTTCAATTTGTCAATCTTCGATTATATTTGATCGGTATATTAATTCAACAATTAAATTTGATTTTTGAGCATTTAGTCATTTTTTTTAATGATTTTGTTCGTTTAATTGGAATATTAGGGAAATTTATAATGGCAACTAAGAAGACATCACATTATTAAAATTTAAAGAATGAATTGTTGTATTTGTATGTATGATCTAAAAAAGAGCAGAAGCCATGGTTGCTGCTGCCTAATGTTTTGGATGGTTGAACTTTTCTGACTGGTATGGGTAATGGTAATGGCAGTGCTGCTGACGACTATTCAGGCAGTGGGCAGCTAGCTGCATGGCTAGGTTCTCAAGAACAAGACCACTCGACCGACGTATGCATCTCACAGCACTGGCATAATTAGTTAGGAGTAATAGTAATGTAGTTTGTGTATATTCTTTGTGTATTATATTTTGTAATTTAGTTAAGAGGTATTCATCAATTCCCTCTTTGAACTTATGACCATTAGCCAATTTCTCCTCTCAACTTTAATTTTGGCCAATTTTCCTCCTCAACTCTCATAATTAATCAATTTCCCCTCTCAACTTTAATTTGGCCAATTTCCCCCCTCAACTTTATAATTAGTCAATTTGCACCCAACTGTTAATTTTTTTTAATTTTCCATCTATTCTTTTTATTTTTTCTTTAATCTTTCTAATAACTTCAAACAAAGTACTAAAATTAACATAAACTCACCTGCATAATATAGGGTAAAATGTACAAAAACATAATACAATTAGTATGTGATATGGGTTGATTATAAGAAAAAGTTATGAATCTGGTTTAAAGCGTGTAGAAGAAGAAATAATAATCCTAAACTTATGGATCATACCTATTTCAATAAAATGGGTTATTCTTAATAAGGAGTCGAAAATTATGAATTGACTAGCCATTTTTGCACTAAAGCTCGATTCTCCGCAATTTACTTGAACTTAGCTTTCACTTTTATAAAGAAAATTGTATTCACATACAAAAATGTACACATCAATCCTTTTCGTTATCAACTTTTTATAGTAAAAAATCAAATAAAATTACTCCATACTGATTTATTATGACTAATAATACTATCTATGATAAATTGTAAAATTCTAAATTTTAATCTATTTGTAATAGGATAAAGACATAGGAAAATGATTAACATACATCTTATTTAGTTTCTTACACACACTTGTTTAATTATTATCAAATTAAAAAAATTAATAGTAGGGTGCAAATTGACTAATTATGAGAGTTGAGTGGGGAAATTAGCCAAATTAAAGTTGAGGGGGGAAATTGACTAATTATGAGAGTTGAGGGGGAAATTGGCCAAAATTAAAGTTGAGGGGGAAAATTGGCCAATAATCACAAGTTCAGGGAGGAAATTGATGAATACCTCTTTAGTTAATTGTAATTGTTTGCTATCAATATATGTTATCGTTGTAATTGAGTTAAGTCCATGAGATATCAACTTTATCTCATATGTTGACACCTCACGCGCAATTTTCTTTAGACTTGTGTTCCTTTAGAATTGTCAAAGTCAGAAAGAATCATGTGTTAACAAGGATTTGTAATTAAGTACGTTGTATAATAGTGTTATACACAAAATCAAGATTCAAATACTAAGAAAATGAAGCTCATCTTCTTATTCTCTGCTAATAGGTTTCTGATTAATTTTGAAGAAATAATAACTAGAAAATGGCAGAGAAAAAAGTTAATAAAATTGAAAATGAAGCCGGCTATTTATCTCTCACTGTCTTTTTTTTCCCCCCGGTAATCACGATCAAGTAGAAAATGACAGAGAAACGTTTCTAAGAAAATCTAGAAAAACAGGAGAGAATATGAAAGGATATATTTAAATATTTATTGTCGTCTTGTATGGATGGTATCGATAATCGAGCAGAACGAAAGCATGTATGTAAAATTTGCATTAAAAAATGGTGAACAACGTGACAGGAATCCAATACAATAGCTTAGCTGCCTCTTTCGCTTGCAACTTGCACTTTTTGATAGCTATTCGCTAGCTGTTCTTCCAAAGAAAAGGAAAGGAAGGCCGGATACATGCAAAGCAGTTGCATGCAACTTGCTCTCTCTCTCTCTCTCTCTATCTCTCTCTCTCTCACTGTCATGATTTTCGTTTAAAGAAATGCAAGTTGGGGGGTGTTGGTCGATGGATCGGTGGCTGAAATGTGAATGGTTGAGTTTTGAATATGTTTGAATAGAGACTATATGTCTAATCTGATTTGCAAGTTGGTAAGCAAGTGGGATGGAAGACAAGGCTCTCTCTCTCTCTCTCTCTCTCGGGTATTCTTGTCTACTTTTCCAATTCCTTCACGCTACCTACAAATGAGCCAGTATATGACCCATTCCATCCGTCTTCTAACTCTTCGTATCTGTACGAGGAGGATGCTTCCCTCTCCCAGACTGGTGCATCTCGTAGAGTTCAAATCTTCTGCATTTATTTTGTGTATAATTTTTCGTAGCTCATATTATTAATTGATATGTGTTAAATTTATGATAATAAAATTAAATAGAATTAATACATATTAATTAATAATAAATGTCACAGATTAACTACACACAAAACAAGTGCACATATTTGAACTTCATCTGGTCGTATGGTTTCTTCGCTTTTTTGCATGGAAATTATTGACTAGGTAGAGAGATCACATCATCACTCGATCATGACCTAGCAGGCTAGCAGCAGCTGCTTCCTTGAAAAACTCATGATGTATCACGCCTGTCATAATTACTTTGCTTGAAGCAAATATTACCAAAAGGATTGCCATCCTTTTCCATGTTATGATAGTGTTTGTTTGGGTCATTGAACAATCAGTATTCAATACGTAATACGCTGTTTCCCGTCTTGTCTTGAAACAAATTAGGGCATCTTAGAGTTGGAGATAATCTCAGTAGATGACTTGCTTTTTGAACGTTTATGAATCCCCTAACACAACAATAATGTCTCATTTTTAGAATATATTAATAAAGAAGGCCAACATAATTCTATAATATTTTGAAGTAACACCACTTGATAGTGTTTTATAAACACTAAAAATCTAATGAAATAAAGTTAAAGCAAGCTGAATTTGCCACTATGGGTTTGGCAAAAGAACATTGACTTGTCAATATTTCAGAGAGACATGCTAACGGTCCACAACTAACAATATTGATATTATTCGTTCAAAGTACATCTTACCACCTACAAAACACAAAATGTATGAGGGTTTTGTACAAAAGTCATCGGTGTAATTAGTACTAGAACCACACAATACAATGCATAGTCCCCCTTCATATTACACCACTTTGTCCATCCATTTGCAATTAACGCATTTTTATGATACAAATTACATAATTTAAATTGTTTATTTTTTCAATCATCATTTGAAGATCATACGTGCAAAAAAAATTAATTAAACTAAAATTTGTTTAGTCATCTTTATTTATTAAATAAAGGGGCTTTTAGATTTAAATGCCTCGATGTTCTATTTGTTAGATTAAACATCTATACCTTTTAGAATTTTTATTAAACATTTTCCTACATTTTAGGTGTCAAATATATTATAAGTAGTATTTTTTTAAAGGAAAACTAACGAAAAAATCCTTAAAAACTTTAGTTTTAATGAAAATGACAAAATAAAGGTGTAAGTGAATAGTATTAGGAGTGACTTTTTAAGGTAAAAATGTTCTTAATGTTAAAAGTGAACAGTACCATGAGTGTTTCGTTAATTTTTTTTAATGCAAAATTACACAATTTGCCCCATATATAATGTACCAATTAGTTAATAATTATCCAAATCTCCTAGAATCTAGTAGACGTATGTTTTTTAAAATCTAAAAACATATCAAATTTGATTTACTTATGCTTCTAACGTGATATATATATATATATATATATATATATATATATATATATATATATGTCATCTTCTTTCACGACTATTCTACAATCTCTTCGTGCCATTTCTTTACTGTTAGTCGATACTCTTCCGTCCTCCTTTGTGAGTCATGTTCATTTCCCTTATATTTTCATTTTATGCAAACCTCTTGATTTGAGTATTCGTACCATGGTACATTTGGAAAATAGATTCTAGTGGTAGATGATATGGGGTATGTTTCCATTTAGTATTGGTACGTTTCTAGCTGATATGTTGGTACGTAAGTTGGCATGGGTACATTTCGTATCAACATCGGTACTTTCAATTTGGCATGGGTACATTTCTAGATAATATGTTGGTACGTTTCAAGTTGGCATGGGTACATATCATATCAACATTGGTATGTTTCAATTTGGCATCGGTACATTTCAAGTCATATTAGTACATTTCAACATGGCATGAGCACAATTCAAATTAGAAATTAATATATTTAAATTTGGTTTCAATTTAAAATTCACATTCATATATCTCATGCCGAATGACATTAATCTCATTCCTGCTAATCCCTTTTCTTAACAACTTTTGTGCAAATTATATTGTGCTACAATATTTTAAAATCACTTGTTTTCTGTTGCATACTAGACAACCATGCAATCAAACTAGAACTCAACAAGATAAATGTAGCGTCCATGGTGTTTTCATCATGTTGGATTGGCTATCTAAATTTTTTATACTGATGTAAGCTTTTTCTGTGATCAATGAAGTTTTATTATAGAAAAATAAATGTTAAAAATTCAAAAATTAAGAGATAATATTGATGATTTAATAGTTGATATCTATTAATTATCCAACATCCCTTAAAAAGGTGCATAGATTCTGGCACGACGAAAAACCTCTATTAACTAAAAAGATTAAGTGGGAATTCAACCTATAACATTTTTCATTTAGAAAAAAAATAATTAAAATAAATTTAAAAATGCTTAGGTGGCCACTAGTCATAGCGCTTTAATCAAATCTTCGAAAGACACAAATGTTTAATAAAAAAATTGTAGGAAAGGAGTGGGGCATTCCAGTTTTCTCTTAAAATAAATTGATAATTCATGAGACTACTAGTTGTTACTAGTTTAGTACACGTATTTGTATGTATGGATTCAAGAAGTTTCCAATATGAATGCCACCATTTATTAGAATGTGTATATCCCCAACAACAACAATAAAATGTACATCAACTTTTACTTTCTACGGTCAATATTGTGGATACAAATTTCCGTCTTCTTCTTCTTGGATGAAATTGCATCTGCAAAACAATTCACACCTAAGGTCAAGGTCAAGAGCTTCACGCGCCCACGATGAATGGGGGGGCTTTGGCCGAAGAACCTCCGATGCCAAAGTTAGAATTTGAGAGAAAAAGTGTTTAGAGAATTTTAGGAGAAGAATGGACTTAGGTTTTTGGAGAAATGGGGAGCTATATATAAGGGTGTGGCCGGCCCCTATTTGGAGAAAAGGGGTCCGGCCACTTATGGTGGTTTTTGGTTCTAATTGCAATATATTATGTCAAAATAATATCTTGCAATCAATTAGGAAATTAATTAGAAAATTAACCAATTAAAAATTTGGTAATTAATCCTAATT